TGTTTATTTCTTTGTTTTTGTTTGTTTATTTGGTTTTGTTTGTTTATTTCTTTGTTTTTGTTTGTTTCAGGACGCTGTATTGCGCCAAAGGAAACTATAACTTTGGCATTTCTCGCGTCATTAAGAGCCTGGAGCCGTACAACAAGAAGGTTTGTGACTGAGTGGACAGCTTGTTACAGTCAGCTGTTTACTGAAAATATCATGTTTGTTTCAAACAACAAGCAGGAGAAAAACAAATATTTCATGTAAAATGACATCAATCACCTGATGATGACTCAGAAGGTTGAGTAGTGTCCTCATCAGGACTGGTTCTTCTTCTGTGGTGGTCCTACTGTTTAAATCTAACCCCAGAATAAGGATTAGATCCAGTTCTTCCTCTCTGAGACTGAGCTGGTCTCTGTGGGACCTTTGGTCCAGCTCATCACCTGAGGACACAAAGCGTCTCCCTCACAGGGGGAACAGAACAGATCTCAGGGATGTGGACCCTGGAGGGACTCCAGATCTTAGGTTCTGTTTCAGTCAGGTGGTCTCTGTCAGAAAAGTGCAGATTTTCTGCGGAGAGAAGCAAAGCGTGGATAAGAAGCAGGTTGTGTTTGTGTCTTTAGCTGGGGACAGACACGTGGTTTTACGCCAAGCGTTGTTTCCTGTCTCTGCTGGAGAACATGTCCAAACACATGATCATGCTGCAGGATGCTGTGGTCCAGGAGTGTCTTCAGTTCCTGGAGCTCTGTGAGGGTGAGCTGCAGAAACATGACTGCTCCACTGCAGGCCAGTTAAAGTTCACTGACCTGTCTGAACCTGTCTTCTTGGTCTCCCTGCAGTTTATGGGAAGGAGGTCCCGGCCTTCATCGAGCAGCCTCTGGACCAGGTCCAGACCCACATCGGTAAGAACACAGTTACCTACGAGGCCCGGCTGCTGAAGTCTTTGTTCTACGAGGTGATCGGATGGAACAAGTGAGACAGTTAGGACAAACACCAGTTCGTCTTTCTGAGAAAAGAGTGGACACAGAATTTGTTTGTATTTATTTAGTTCTGTTGACAGAAGCTTAGCATGAAAACACTTTAGTTCTTCATACAGTTTTTATGATAAACTACTTTTATATTCTGAGAACTAAATGTTATTTAAWAAAAAAAATGTCTTTACAAAAAACAAAACTCAATGTAAAGA